GAGGGAAAAGGCAGGGTGCGGCGTAAGGGGACAGAAAGGGACGAATTACCTGCGCTGATGAAGAGAATCATAGGGGGAGGACGGCTGATGGAAGTAATGCACCTGCAGAATGATGATCACAAGAAAGACGACGGGCATCATCATGCGGTCGAAGAGTTCGGCGCTGCCAAACTGCTCAAGACCAATTGCCTTCAGTCTGTGGGAACGAAGTGAAGAGACATGAAAGATCTACAGTTTTACTTTAAAAAATAAACATTTTTAGGGAGCAGACGAGATTGGAAGATTAGGAAGACTAACAGTGTCTGGATGCCAGTGCATTGGACAGGTTATCTAGCCCTCAGATGAACAGCTGTTCCAAGAAAGAACTGAAGAGCTTCTGATGGTGTTTCACTTGGGGTAAGGTATGACTGGCGGACGACGGCCAATAAACCAGAAATGCCCATTCCGGTCTCCCTTGTCTTTGACGGCACTACTATCTAAGCTACTAGCCGCTATGGCTGCTGTGAGAGCCCGAGAATGAGACCAAGCCTGTGCGGGACGAGTTAGTGCCGTTGGCGGTAGGGGGAAGTTCATAAAGGAGTGTCAATATCTCCCCACTTAAACCGGCAAGACAACAAGCTCGTGGCTCAATGGTTAGAGCCTTTTAGACTTTGATGAAAAGGTCGTGAGTTCGAGCCTCGAGTGGCGCACCACTTGGGGCTGGGTATGACTGACTGGCTAGCCATTCCAGTCTCCGTTGTCTTTGCCGGCAATGTTATCTGCCTGGACTACTACCCACCGTGCGGCTGCTGGTGGGGCTCGGGAATAAGCCACAAGGTAGATCGAGAGGAGTGAGTTCCGTTAGCGATTGGTGAACGTTCATCAATGATCTGAAGAGTCTTAACAAAGGATATGGGCCTAGTAGACTCGTCTTTACAGTACTCTTTAAGAAGCATGAACTTCGGTTTCCAACGAAAAATGGTAGATGTTAGCCGAATGTTGCAGCTAACGTGTGGTGGGGTCTATGAGACGCAGAACGACTCTCAACAGGATAACAAGGCGGCGAGAGGTTAACGGACACAAGCCGGGTCCTGTGTGATAGAGGAAGCTGTGTGCGCAGACATGACATCGGTCTCGCTGATGCAGGCTTATGTTTATATCATTTGACTCTCAGTGTGCAAGATGATCGAAAATATTTTTTCATAATCGAAGTTACACTGATCTCTTTCCCTGTCTGAGAACCTGTTCTTATGAGAATGCAGAATCGGTTGCATGCAAGGACACCATATTTTTTCTCAGTTTAACGGTAGATTTCGCGTACCTACAAAAACGAAAGTGAACACATAAACTCAGTCCGGAGAACACTAGCACGATCTCTGAATATAATATTAGCTCTAAGGGACTGCTTTATACCTAAGAAGCTTTTATGCATGATCGGTGACGTACAGAAACACGAAGGAGGGGGGGGAGTCGAATGGTGCTCCTGTTTCTGCAAAGTCCATGGTGAAAAAACTCTCTAACCCCTTAAGCTTTGAGACCGCATCGAGAGCCGTGAATTTAAGCAAAAAAGGGTTAAAGGAGTTTTATATAAACGTCAAATTTGACTGCACGCAGTAGCTATGGTTGATAGTCCATTGAAGACATTGCACTTGCAGCAGATTGTGCGAACAAACCTTTGTACTGCAGATTGTCAGCCTAGTGACAAGAGTTAAAGCTGTCAAAATAGACTTGAAAAGCATTCAATTTTAATAAGGGAACTGGAGGAGGAGGAGGAGGGGGGGGACGAGGAGGAGTAGGAGTGGCCAAAGTAATTGGCAGAGGGGGGCTAAACTCACGTCTGAGGGCTGAGACCGGTGCCGTTTTGCCAGTAGTATGGAAACGAGGTGAATTGGTAGGTGTAGGTGCAGAGTAGGACGACCATCGAATAGCCAATAGCAAACCACCAAAAGGCGATGAGCTGCTTACGCCACAGCTTGTAACTTATCTGGTGGAAGGGGAAAAGGGTAGGAAAAAAAGCGGTCACGGACGATAGCAAATAGTAGTAGTTAGCATGACAAAAAGGGAAAAACCAGAAGCATGCACTGCTGCATGTCATGTCAGGGAAAACGCAGGGGGGGACGGGGAGAACTCCGGACAGGCTGCAATTACGAGCCTAACGCCCGTCGTTGCAATAGAATTTGTGTATTCTATGTGCGCATGTGGACTGCCGAACTG